ATATACTGTCATTTTTCAGCAATTTAAAAGCTGTGCATGTGTGTATGTTTTTTTTAAATAGAATGACAGCGTAACAACTACACTAAATCATTACGTACTAAATTTACACTATAAATTTAACGTTTTAAATTCGTTGTTAATAATCGATTCACGTGTCGTATCAACCAACTGTTGAAGTATTTCTGTAGGCACATCGTTAATGTTCTGTTCAAAATCTGCTACTATTTATTTATTTATTTTTAAACTGTTCTTGATCTGTTGATTTTTAGTGTTTTCTATTTTAATCGATTTGTTTTTACAGCAGAAGTGTTTTTACGTAACTTTACTCTTGGCTATTTATCGGCACTTGGCTACAAGTGGGAAGTATTTGTAGTGTTTTTAATAATTCTTGTAAATATACTGTCTACCTATATTGCCTTCTTGAAAACTCATTTAGTCTATTTGTGTTGTAGTTCTGAGGAATTACTTGACTAGAAAAAAAAAATTTACGATAAGGTATTTGTACCACCATAATGTTTTTTGGTCAGTTTTATTAAACACAAAAAACCTGTATTGAAGAAATTGCTGGATTGTAAACTAGTGTAAAATAACTCTTTTTCTAATCACAGCACTTTTTGTCTGCTTTCAATTAATTTGAGCTGTTTTTTGTAGAAATAATAAGAAATAGAAATTAACTATTATTTTTCAAAATGAAATAGACAGAAGCTGTTATATAATTTTATGATTTTGAGACTTTGCGAGTCTTACCAAAGTAAGTCTGAAATATTTTGTTAATGTAGATATGGCATGGAGGATAATAAGATTAAGGCAGTAACCGATGGAAATCAAATAGAGTTCGGTGGGCGAAAACCATAAAGTCGAAGAACCCACAGTACTTACTTGCTGATTTACTTTTGTTAATTTCTACAACAGACCATATTATACTACTGTTTTCTGTTTAATAATTGGCTTTTACGTCATGTTTATAAATAGTCGTTATCGTTTTCATATTTGTTACCAAAAAAATCTGGTTATTCGCTTAGGTGACAGAAATAAAATTTCAAATTGGGTTTGCGCTCTGAGTTGTACTCTCTTCCGTTGAAAATTCTTTGTTACTGAGAAATTTCCTAAAGCGCAGTATGTTTTTATAACCGAACTTCAGCTGCATCACTGCCTCTCTCGTTCCTGCTAGTCACCATAGCTTGAATTTTTATCTTAGAATCTGACCGATTCTCTTGAAAAGAGTCATTATAATTTTCTACAAATATATACTGCTGTGTTGCGGTTCACACAAAAAAATTTGCTGCGATGTAACCACTGCTCAGAGTCTTTGTGAACGCTAATAATCACGGTGATTTAAGGTAGTAAGAGGTAGATTTTGAAAAAAAAATAGTAATGAAGTCAGCGGATAGTGCTCCGTGTATCATAGTTACAAGGCGGAATTTCACGTTTACTGATTGGATTCGAATGTCAAAACGACAAGTTTATGTTACTGCTTTTGCGTTATTCTTCGCAATATTCTTGTTCATCTTTCCTTCGAAGGTTTGTAACTAATAGTAAAACTTAAAAAATTGATAAAATGTTTTCGCTTTTTTTGTTATTTCTTATACAAAAATTTTGTAACACTTCAAACTACAATTTTTTCAAAACTAAATAAGGTTTTTAGATATGGAAAACTCTTGTCGCTATTATCAAGAGTTAAATTTATTTGTTACAGTATTAACCGACAATTTTCTCTTCTTTTCAACTTTTCTTTTTCAACAATTTGTAGCTAATTTAGGGTCTTACACCAAATTTGCTTCTAGTAACTTTAGGAAACTCAAGGTGCTTATGTCGTTTGTTTAATGGGAAGCTTATGGATGACTGAAACTTTACCATTAGCTGTTACAGCACTACTTCCAGTTATTTTGTATCCAATTTTTGGCATACTTGATGCTCATGAAGTCTCTGTTGTTTATCTCTCGGTTAGTAAAAAACAGTGTGTATGGGTTAAAACCCTTAAAATGTTTCTAAATAAGCAATTCGGAAGCAGTTCTTAGCAGCATTGCAGTTGTTTTTCAGGACAGCAATTTTATATTTGTGGGTAGTCTGATTATGGCAGTTGCTATTGAAACTAGTAAGTTACACGAAAGAATAGCTTTACGAATACTTCTTGTCACAGGATCAAATCCAAGATGGTGAAGTTCTCCTGTTATTCATTTATTTCAGAAGATTTTATAACTGTAATTACTGTAAAGCGCAAACTAGCTAGGGGCAAAACATTTAGGCAGTGAAAGATTTGAGCCAAAAAAAGTCATAAAGAAAAAGAGAAATTGGTGAAAGTAATAAAACACACTAACATAATGGCTTGGATTAAACTATGAAGTTGTCACAGGTTGATGTTCGGTTTTCAACTGTCTTCGGCAATTTTATCGATGTGGATAAGTAATACAGCTACGACAGCCATGATGGTACCAATTGCATTGGCGGTAATTCGTGAATTAAGGCTGTTCGAAGAAACTGAGTAACTGAATAAACTTTGATGTTGATATCGTCTATTTACAGTAAATTTTTTCGTTTTATAACTTATTGTTTCCTGCTAGGCTTTTTTCACCCGGAGAGACAGTACAACGACTTGACGTTATGGAAACCATTGAGAACCCGCTTGATGCGACAAAAATTTCAAGCAAAGAACTAAACATTTATAAGGTTCTTCATTATCAGCTAAAAAACTTATCTATTTCTGCTTAAAATATGATCGACTTTTAATGCACTTCAGGCTATTCTATTGTCAATTTGCTACTCAGCAACAATCGGTGGGACTGGAACGTTGATCGGTACTGGACCAAATATTGTACTGACAGGAGATCTTGATAAGTTTGTAGCTTTTTACGAACCAGAAGTAGATTTTTTACTTCACAAACTTTATATCACAATAGAACGCTTGGCTATTCGAAAAATTTCTCAGGCTGTACAAGGGTCGAACGCCTATAACTTTTGCTTCATGGATGGCATTTTCATTTCCACAACTTACGATATTGTTGTTATTCAGTTGGTTTTGGCTACAGGTTATGTTCATCGGTTTCAGGTTACTTCTATTAATTGACTCTTTTCAGAAGATTTTCAGCATTTTTCGAAAAATTTTTAGGGAAAGCAGAAACGGACAAGACACAAACCGAGTTCGTGAAATGCTGATGAAAAAGTACCAAAGACTTGGACGCATGAAGTTTGTCTTAGTCTGACTTTGATCATCTAAGCATCGTTTAATTAAGGTATTCTACTAAATAAGATTTTCCTTTTATTAAGGAAGATATATTCTTTAAGGTTTGATGAACGGCTCGTCCTCACTTTATTTATTACTCTCGTTCTGTTATGGCTATTTAGAGAACCAAAAATAATTCCAGGGTGGAGCGTATTCTTCCCCAGCGGGTTCGAATCCCTCACATTTTTTAGTTTCTTTGCAACATTCAAAACTAATTGCTGTAAGAAAATGTCAACATTTATTCCCATTCAAACACTGTTGGACCTAATGAATGAAAAAAAAAATCTTTTTTTGGATCAGTTTTTATATCATAGTATTGTACTGAATGAGATTGCTGTAAATTTTCATTTAAGTTATGATCGTTTTTTGGTTTGAATAATTGTACTAAAATTTTTAGGTTTATTTCTGATGGAACAACAGCAATGTTTGTTGCATTTTTGCTTTTTGTGTTTCCTGCAGAAAATCCGTTTAAACCATCGGAAAGCGGTAAAGAATATCGTACGTTAATGAATTGGGAAACAATGAAGCAGAATTTTTCGTGGAGTACCGTTTTACTTCTCGGCGGCGGTTATGCAATGGCAGAAGGTACTAATAAAATGTACCACTTATCATAATTTTTCATCTACGTCATTTGTCATTTAAATTGACGTATTTTGCTGTACGAAACGAGAGTTGCTTACAGGTGTTGAGGAAAGTGGCCTTGCCGATGTTCTCGGTGACCAAATGGGTGCACTGACAAGGTTACCTCAGTGGTTGTTTATTGCAACTAGTTGCGTACTGATCACATTTATCACCGAATTCAGCAGTAATGTTGCAACAGCATCAATTTTCTTACCATTGGTAAATTCAATCGTAAGTTATCTGATTTTACTCACTCTGTTATTTCGGTTTCGGACTCTTTGTTTCAAAATTTTATTAACGCTGTTTTTCAACTGTAATCAGCGTGTTGTACTTTATAGGCTAAAAAAAAACGAGTAAATCCCTTACTGTTTATCCTTCCATCAACGATGTCGTGTTCATATTCTTTCATGCTACCTGCTGGTACACCACCAAATGCGATTGTTTTTAGTTCGAAAATGATTCGAGTAATAGATATGGTAACAAGGAAAAAATTTTGAATTTTTGTAGTTTTGTTGCTAAAAATTAAAACTTTGTTTATAGGTCAATTAATATTGCTTTTAGGCTAAAGCCGGGATTGTACTGAACATTTTTGCTGTAATAACAACAATAATCTCTATCCATACTTACGGAAAATGGTTGTTTGACTTAGGAAACTTTCCTGTTTGGGCTGAATATAATCGAACAATTTTGCATTCTCGAAATTAAAAAAAATATTTGTTGCAAACACTGTTAAAATGAGCTGACTGCAAGTTTTTTTTCGTTTAAGAACGTTTCATTTTAACCAAAAGCGACAGTTTTTTTAATAAAGAACGTTTTTGTTATGCAATCAAATCTTTGGTAAATTTTGTGCCTTAAAGCTGATTTTTTTAAATTAGTTTTTTGAATATGCTTATTAATTTAAAATCAATTTTCTTAAACATTTTGAATTCTGGAACTAAATTTGAAACGTTGCAGTCGGATCAAATACATTTGGATCTGTGACGACAGAGCAAATGCGTACATGGATAAAAGGAAGTACAAGTGGTACAGTGAACTTTAAAGCTTGTTGTCTCTCATTATTTTCTCTACTACAGATGTTAAGCAATTCTGTCAAGATTATTTCCGGAAACTTTTGACAGATAGAGAGCTACCGTTTAACTGTCTGAAGATAATCCTTGCTTTAAAATAGAAATTGAATTTAAGAAAGAGTGTGATAGAATTCTTCTATATTTCTGCCCTGCAAATATTGGGAAAGAAAATTTATTGGGATTTTACTCTTTTTTTTATATACATTTCGGTTCTTAGAGAGTTTCTTTTTTTAAAAATTGGTGTTTTGTTAGCGGTTCTAAAAATTTTCAAAAGCTTTAAACAGCTATTTATACAGCTATTCGTCAAAGTTTTCAGTTGTTTTGTGTTGTTGCAGATGCTTTATTTATAGTTTAGGAACTGAGAAACTTGCTTACCGCAACTAAACATTTAAAACGTTAAAAAATTGAGAACTGTTAACCATCACCTCTGAGAGAGAGTTGTTCTTGAGCACGGAAAAAGCTATCATTTTGGTCAATTTATCAATTTAAATTTCAGTTTTTTAAAAACATACATGTTGTTATTTCATGAGAACTTAGTTACAGGATTAGGACTACTGAGAGAATCTGAATTAAAAGTTAGTGTTTAGTTTCTTGTTTGAAATTGTGTTTCAACATTTCTCTTTTTTGTTTTCAAAATTTGAAACTGTTCCATTTATTTGCTGCAATTATAGAACGACTTTGATATCGTCTAAAGTTATGGCATTGATAACAACTTGTTTCACATTGGTGATCTGTATTGAAATTGAATTGTTGGCAGTACCAATTAACTATCAATGCAAAAAGCACATTTATTCAGTGCATAGTTTTAATAAGAAGCAGTTTGAAAAATTTAATCGTGGTAAGTCGAATAAATTCTAGTTTTATCTTATTACTTCTTTTGATCACAGTTAGACAAACAATCAGCAAAGTAGAAAAAAATGCTTTTCTTCTAGCTTTTACTTGAAAGAAAGAAGAAAAACAACTGAGCTGAAAAAAGTTGACGAACACATAATGTAATACAACAAAATGCTGGAGTTTTTACAAAGAAACTCTATTCAAGTTTCCTCTTTTTGATTAACTTATTATTTATCTGATTGATTTGGTCTAAGCTCTAGTAACGATAGGTAGAGAAAAACGAAATATTGGCGAAAATAAATTTATTGAAAAAAAAGATCAGACATGGAATTTCAACCAAATGTTTTCAAACTTATCTCTCCTTTTTTAACTTTTTAAGCTTTATTCACCTTCTTATTATGCCGTTGATGTTCTCAGTGTAACGATAATAAATATAAAAAATTTTTTGAACAGAAGAAAGCAGGGAAAAAATCTATATGATGATGAAAAGCGCAGAAAATGTTGATGCCGATTAATTAAGACAAACCTGCTCATGCGGACATTTCGAGCCTTCCCTTGCTGTTAACTTTTTTTTCGTATAATTAAACGAATTCTAAATGATATGACACCTAAATTGAAAGCAGGAAAAAACTGACTCTTTTTATGTACTACTGAAAAACTAAAAGCATTTTTATTAACGTCAACCCAAATGTCTATGCCCAAAGAAGTCAAAAACAACAAAAAGGAAACCATGATAATTTTAAAATCAATCGAAATGTGGAGTTTGTATACGTATTTAATTTCACGTTTATAATTGCTATTTGATGTTATTTTCGTTTAAAAATAACAGTAACAAAAAAAAAAAAAAAAAAAAAAAAA